TCGGCGTAAAAAAGTGGTAAAGAAGGACTTCAGATTCTGGAATACGATTGTTGAGCGCATATGCAACTATCGTGAGGTGTACACACTTGCCACGTGCAATCACCCAAACATTGTGAAGTTCGTTGGAGCTGGTCCAAATACGCGGGTGGCCGACGTTCGATATGTTGTGATGGAGCGGGCAACAGATACATCCTTGAAGGATCGTAAGTGATATTCCTCCTATGGTGCCAAGTCGATCTCTTCTGCCTTTAGTTATATATTCGAGAATTGAGTACGGCATTTGGCATGTGATGCTGTGGACACTGCATCTGGCAGATGGACTGGATTATCTGCACTCTCGTGATGAGCAAATTATTCATCGCGACTTGAAACCCGCAAACATGCTGCTGTTTGACAGGTGCACCACCCTCAAAATAAGCGACTTTGGTACCTCGAAGATATTTGAAGCGGGCAAGGAGGACTTGCAATCAGTGAACCAGGGCTCGCTTTTGTACATGGCACCGGAGGTGCAACAACGTGAGTTTTGGCACCTTCTCTTCTTGGTAAATAACTGAGATGCTGTTGGTGTTCAGAAGCCTTAGTTTTGCGTCGTCGCTTTTAAGGTTAACAAAACATTTATGCTAATTTTTGGCTGCGTTGGTTGGTGTTACTCTCTAAAGTGAGGCTTGCATCTGTTGAGTGTGAGGAGGGATTATTTTTGAAGAAGTGCTGTTAGCTGGGTCGTGGTGGAGATGTGGGAGTGCGTGTTTTGTGCTTATGTTCATTTACAAGACATACGAGTTTAAAGCCGCAGCTTACTTGGGAAGTGATGTAGACATACTTGGGTCTTGTTGGAGGAGTTTTCCTTTTACAGTAGGTGATGCAGGAGGCAGTGGATAGGAAGTGTGGTTTGTGTTATTGTGGTGTGTGGTATTATCTTGATGTGAGTTATGGTGGTGAATGTGAGTACGATATGGTGAGGACGGTGATCCTGCGGTTTGTTTAGACTAAATGAAGTAGTCTTGATGGTCAAACTTTATCCACTTTCTTCACCAACGCAATTCGCAGAATGCAGCAGGAGTAGTTGTTGGTGGTGCCGACCACTTGGGGGTGGGAAGGAGGAAGGAATTGTGGCGCCTGCCGTGGACGCACTGGTTGAACTTACATTGTTGTTCTTTCGTCTAAATCTAGATGCGAAAGATAAATTTTATGCTTGCTACACGAAGGCGGTGGACGTTTACAGCATGATGGTGTCAGTTTGGGAAATGCTGACACGAAGATTGGATGTGGATGTAAATCCTCGCACTGTGACGATTAGTTCGTGTCCACCGTTTCTGGAGCGGCTCTTGACTCGGTGAGAATCGCGTATGCTTGCACGATGACGAGGTGTGTGGTTGGGACATATGTCGATTGGTAATTGTTTTGTGTGCAGTGGAACAGCAGTGGACCCGTGTGAACGACCATTAGCATCGGAGGTAGTTTGTCTGTTCGATTCCATAATGCGTTACGTATGCAAAAAGGCGACATCGGAGCTCTACATAGACTTTGAAGACGATACCGTTCGTAGTGTTTCTCCGACGACTGAAACCTGCACCGTAAGTGGTCATTTTTTTCCGTGGTAGTTTTGCGAGTCGAACAGTAGATGTGGTAATGAATAGCTAGCATCAGAAATTGACAGTCGATTGTATACCTTTATTTCTCGCCGCTCTCATATAGGGGAGTATTAATTTTTGTATACCGCTACTAATGAGACCACATTAGTTGCACAACCTGAATGCTCGGGTGGCTGAGCATGCAACCATGCGATTGTCTTGAGGCGGCGCACAATGTCTCCTTTTGTGATTCATTTAGGAAGCTGCTACTGGATGCATTCGCGAGAGCGAATTAGACACCTCGTTTCCGGTGAGTAACTGGGTTTGTAGTTGCTACAGACACCTTTTTCCATTTGTTTGACAATGCTATGTATTTAGTCTCTAATTTTTTTCTATTTTTTAGAATTTTGAAATTGTCGATTGTCTGCAAGAGGTAGGAATTGTTTGTGTGGTATAGCTACTTCGACTTTGTTTCATGACCTTAATTGCGTTGCTCGATCACAATATTTGCCTCTTCACGTCGTGGAATGGGAAGCAGTGCTGGTAAGGTCCCTGCGCTTCACAGTAAAGTAGTGTGGCAAAACAGTGTTTCATTGCGGCACTGCTGTCTGTCATCTTCATGAACAGTGGTGTTTGAGATAGACAACTTTAAGCCATGCAAAGTGATAGGTGTGACGGGCAATAAGACAGTCTTGTCACCGCTCGTCAATGACAGGCTGTTTCCGGTGAGCCGGTTCTAGCCTGTGCATCTCTTCGCTTTACAGCATCGGAAATTGTATGAATGTTACCGTCTTTTGGCACTTATCTTTTTTTAGGTTCTTATTCGTATGGAAAAAGTAAGTGCAACTTTTCGTCCCATAAATCCTTTCTGTACTTTTGTCCCTGTTGAAAGCTGTAAACAGTGGCTAATTTCCCATCTTTCAAGGCGCATGTCAAATCTCTACCCTCCCATCATGGATTGCGTACATGTTGCCGTCCCTAACATTCTTTGTGCACTTTTTTAGGAGCGTAAGCTGCGTAAAAAGGTAAGGATGTCCTGTTTAACACTACGTAGTTCATTTTTGCATCCGCCTTTGTACAAGAATATTTTTTTCAACTTTCAAGTCGCAAATGGCTCAAAATCGACGCTGTTGTTGATTACGTTAATGCGTCATATGCGAGAATTGGCAGTCTTGACTGAAGATGTGTTTATGTTTTGCAGCTCTCATGTGTGCGCTAAGTGTCTAGTATGTTGGTCATCGTTTGCCAAGACCCACAAGCCGTAATAACACGAGGAACCAAACGAAATATGCTAACCACCGTTGGGGATGCATTGTTGCAGTTTCGAGGCGACACTAGTTGAGGTGGTAGCTTGATTGATTTTCGGTGGAAGGGCACGTGGACTGCAATGTTGCCTTTGTCACGGTGACCCTGGAGCAGAAGGTTTTGTGGTTGATTTGCTGAAATCTGAGAGTCTAGTGGATTCCTCCTCGTTTTGGCGAAGTGATGATGTTGCTGTACAGGCGGTTGGAAGGCAACGAGGTTCAAGAAAGTGATTTCAAAGTGCAAACTTAGCGTAGAGAATGCAGGATCGAAGTACTTGGGGGAGTTCGATGCACAAATGACACGCCTTAATTTCTTGTTTGGCACTGAATCACAACGAAGGATTCGTGTCCGAAGTCCTTTTGCTTTTTTTGGAAGAAGTAGCACAGATAGTTGTTGTAGCTTACTCTATTTAACTAATTTTCTGTTTAAAATTGCTAATCTTTACGATCTCCCACTTTACTTTTGCCATTCTTTGTAGCACCACTACCACTTACGTACTGATGATTCTTAGAATCCATGTTTGCGGCCCTCCGTTTGCTGATATGCTGTCGTTCTGCCTTCAGTCGGACTGCAGTCGTCCCTTGAAGTGTTTTATGCATGTGATGTTGTGTTGCCCTTTCCGCGCAACGCTTTTTACTTTCTCTTGTATGCATCATACTATGGCACTTCATAGAAATCTCAAACAGTAAACAGCACTTTGCTGATGCCCGTTGAATTGAGGTATTCCGCGTAAGTAGTTTCTTTTTAATTTCAAGCCTTAAAGGTGGTTTAGGTGGGCTTTGTTGCTGTCACTGGGATGGACTAAACAGTCTTAAGGGGATGAGATCGCGCCAAGTACCTCTGTGAGGCTATTCGATTCTTGTTTATTAATGTTCATTTTCATCCTCCGTATATTCATTTCTGTTTGCAAACCAACCGTGGGTTTGTACACCGTTCTACAATTTAATCAGCACTTCTGTCAAAGCACTACGGCAGTTGTGCTCACTGAAACAGTTGGGAGAGTTTTGTTGTGTAATGGAGGAGAAGGCGGTATTAAAGAGGAAAGCCAAGCTTTTTGGAGGATCGCAGGGAGGATGGAAGCATGATGAAGTACAAGCGTCTTCAGAATGAAAGAGAAATGAAAGGATGGCAGCTTCAGATGAGATTAGGTGGATGCTTAAATGTCATGCTGAAGTTGCGCAGGACTCACGGGTTGTCAGTTTGTTCGTGCCACAATCGGTCGTTCCAAAATATCGTTTGGAGGTAGTACCGCTTCCGTCATGCGACTTCCGACCTTGGATCATTGTTGACGCCAAATCCACTGACGCATGGGAGCACTTGCGGTGAATGAGGGCGGGATGGATAAGTGAAGCCACGAAAGTGGATGTTTGCACAGCACTCTCACACGAAGTGGGCAGTCGAAATGAACATGTGGGTGGTGTGAGCGAGGTGAGTGGAATGTTCCAAATTGTAGTGATGTTAAAACTTGATGGCTACATCCTTGTCTCCTCAGGCAACACAAATGCTTGTCACCCAGCATTCTTTAAGTGATGTTGGTAAGGTCTATTTGATGCTGACTGCGGGTGAATGGGGAATGCGCAGACTCGCCACGACATCCGTGCAGAAATAAGCGATGTGAACAGCTGAATTCATACTACACACGCACATCTGCGTGATGAGCTGGATGGAAGTGGAGATAAAAAAGTGCCATTACTTGTGGGGTATACATGGCATGCTCAAGTGAGCGAGAAAATGAGTGTTGCAGTCACAGGCGTTATGATATGGGGATGCGTGTCACTTGTATGTGCCCTTAAGACTTTTGACATAATGAAAGAATATAAAACCAGTGGTTCATATTGCATATGGGCCACATGGCTTAACCGAAACTGATAAAGTACTCCGAAGGGTATCCATACCACCGTAATTTATTTAGAATATTTTCAAGGGGGAAGGAATGCCCTGTTGACACCGTGGGCCTTCAAATACCCACAAAAGAGGAAAAGGAGAACAATCTTGCCCAGAGAGCGGACTTGCACTCTTAGCGAACTAGTGAGAGGTTTAAGTAACAATGTACAACCTAAAAAGGTATCTTAAGGCTAAAACCGGCTGCAATGATATGCACAACTACTTCCTGCGTATAAGTTGCCTTCACAGATTTTATGGCAACCGGATTTCGATGATCGGCATTATCATCCATCATCATTTGACTCTGCAGAGGAGTTACAACCACTATCGGTAAATGGCAGAAAGGAGCCAAAACAAATGGGCAGTGCATGTGCCTTAAATTGACAATTAGACTTTCCGTCCACCGCAAGAAGCCACGTGCTTAGGTCATCCCGTTTTTGAATACGTTTTGGTGAACGTTGTGCTTGTCAATCCTCTCACAGTACATAAGATCTTTACGAGCGACCAAACAGCGAAAATTTCGGCTACGTTGAAGTAAGAAAAAACTCTCGAACGACTTCACACCCAGACGACCGATGCACTACTCCACTACAGTACACAAGAGGGCTAAACAGGGATCGAGACGTTACACACGATAACGCCTCTTTTAACAACCAAATTACACAAATGTGAGAGGAAGTGTGCATTAGTGAAACTGGAATTTCAGCATCTGACAAACTCGACAACACTAGTAGTAAACCCATCCAATATGAAGAGGACGGCGCTTTTCATCCCCACTCTCATCCGTGTCACACGGACATGAACAAACCACCCAACACAAAGAACATTTCAATGACCAACTTGTTGACAACCGGTAATGAGGCAATCATCTGAGTCTCCTTGCGTCAGCTTAAAGGACTTTTGGCGACATGGATAGCACTTCGGAGGCAGTCAAAGGAAGCAACAACTTGTATACGAGTAGCATATTGTCTCTACACCAGATTCGGCGCACGAGTTAGCAACGTTTCCTCAATCGCATAATTTTTGACATTCTCCCAGGGCCTATCTTTGCATTCCGCCTCCACCAACACCCCGACTTCTGCAATTACTAGCCTCTGAAATGCAATACAAAAGAGAGCACCATCATTACATATAAGCGCTCATAATGCATATGGACAGTGCCACTGAATCCATGCACCACCTTGGCGACAGATGAAGCGACACGCAGGTGCGCAGCGACGTCGCGCGCAGAGCGAGAGGCAGATGCTGGCATCACAATTACCGCGTAGGCCGCATGACGCAGACGGGGCGATTCAGCGTAAAGGAGGAAATCCACGCCACCTAAAGTCAAGGCGGGTCGCACAATCCACCCTCTCGACCGATAGTACAAATAAGCTGCATAGCGGAGATGAAACGGTGTCAAGGCAGGATGTGAGCTGGGATTACTCGGAGAGACGAGGAGGTCCCAAAGGCGCTGAGTGGGTGTCTAAATACAGCCAAAGGCCTCAACCAAAACTAGAAATAAATACAGGACTTGTGATTGACTACATGACTCAGAGGCGGGTCAACAATAATTCCGACCAAGTGCGCGAAATTACGGTCGTCGAATCCACCGACTAATAAAGTTGGGATCAATTTAACAACAGCGAGTTGCGATGGTCCCAGAAGCAGAGATGAAGCAATGTATGGGAAGTGGATAGATGGAACTAGCATAAAAGGAATGTACATTAGTAGGGAAACGCGAATAAGAGGTATTAAGACGACTGGATATAAATAAATTGGCCCGGCCAGTCACAATGGATAAAGGGATGAGCGAAAACGCAAGAAGAACGGAGAGTGAATACACGGTGTGGTAAGAGGATTGTCGGACGTGTAGCTCTATGAATAAATGAAGTCTGGATGGATGCAGGATTTGACCAGATTTCTTGCTGCCATTTTAGAGAACGAGAGATAAATCATCAAAACCTAACCTTCCAGACACCCACCTTGTTATTCTTCTTCTCACCATCCTCAGTGAGCGCTGTTTGTTCAAAGAATGCCCTCGGTATCCGCACTCTCAACACACCCAATGCATGCAATAGAAAGAACATCTACTCAGATATCTACTCGAAATGGCCAAAATCACACACCTCTGTGTCGAATAGGAACAACTTCGAGGGCCTCACATCTTCCCTCCTTGCCTCATCCTCTGGCGGATAGCCGTAGCACCCCTAGAGCAAAGCGTCACGATTAAGTCCAAAGAGGTTGCGCACTCACCATAGTTTGCAGAATTTCAATCTCCGCCTGACAGTTTGAGCCATCAACAACAGCCACTTTAGACGCGTTAAAGGGATCCATCAAAGTTGCTGTGAATACATGAAAGCTTTTACTGCCATTTTGGCGAACAAGGGGATAAATCGAGGAGCGTCGGATTGGTGCATCGTCGTCCACGCCGACCTTCCTCCGACCTAAAAATACCTTGCTCTTCTTCTCCTCCACCTCCCCCTCCTTCTCTTCCAGTTCATCCACAGAAAACCTGCTACTACGACGTCGTCTTTTCGCCTACAACGTCAACACAGTTAATAAGTCGCAGTTCGACCTCGGGTATTCCGGGAAATAAATTGATCTCTACTGATTCATCAGCGGTATAACTTCAAACGCACCCTTTAGTGGTCATTTTGCAGATCTGTTATTTGTTCAGCAAAGTAATTACATCTGACAGCCGCTAATCATTCTGCAGCATTGGAAATTGCGCCACCCAATAAAGCCTGCATTCAATTTCATCAGTGAGCGAGACAAACTCATACGACTGATGCATTAAGCTCTTAAGGCGGCACTAAGGCCAACTGTCTTCCCAAAGCCAAATTCAGTTGCTCGAAATATGATTGCATTTTTGTTTGAAAAACATTAATTGCTAACGATGGAGCAAATGCACCCCAACTCCACCCATTCCACGGTCCTTGACGAAGGATGATAACAAAACACTTGACTAAACGTCTGGCTCGTAGTGAAAGCAAATAACCCTAATTACGTTGTAGCATCAAGATGTCAGAACAATCACATGCGCCTAAACTTCAAGCAAAGCCAATGGGATTCATCTGTTTCCAGTAAGTCATTCCTAGTGCGAGCCTCTTAAATAAGCAAATGTTACCATAGCAAGCAATGAAACTTGCGGTACGATGAGTACAACAAAGGTGAAGAGAATCCAACATGGTCTGTAAGTAAATCAAAGTTATACAATTCCACTAAAGCAGAAGATTGCAGAGTAAAGGGCAAAATCGCTTTGGAAGTTACATACGAATGCACCTAACAAGAAGTAGAGGTGAAACTGATAAGACTCACAGAAATAAAGCATCTTTATTTCAGCATAAAATGAGCTGATCAATCAACAAATGAATAGACAAAAAGCCGAGTGAATCAGAAAGACAACAACACAAGATTGTAGTAGAATTGAAGCATAACGGTCAGAGCTCATCAACCATCATCAGCCATGACGTTGAACGATGAAGAAAGCTAGCAATGACATCACAACAGGGCACTCCACCAGATCCACTTCAGTGTTGAGCGAAGGATTTGGACTGAGCTCAGTAAACTGTCAAGGCATTTGACATCACAGAGTCACAGCTAACCACCGTCCCAGTCAACTGACTTACCAACTGTTCAGAAAGCATACCACATGGACAAACCATCATCGACTTCCGAATCCTGCTTCGTCCTGACCGCCGGGGCGTCGAGTCACAGATTTGGAGATTTGACGCACGTCCAAACTATCAGACTCCCTTTCTCCATATTTCAAAGAAAACAGTTCCGCATAGATCCCTACACGAATGTGCAAAAAATACATTTCTTGTTCCAGTTGTCTTAATTTTGCCAAACCCAACTACTCACAATACCACTTTTCGATGTGGCCATCCTCATAGCAATCGCACCTAGGCATTGAACGATTTCATGATACACAAAAATTCCATACAACCTCCTCTCTTCACTCTCAGACCTCTAAAGAGCCATCCATTTGCCTCAAAGTCAAATTCTAATACAACTTCACATCGATGCAAACCTACGGTTCAACGCTTATTAGAACGTGGAGTTCTTAATGGACATGACACGAGTACCACGACTTTGTCCATGAAAAAGCATATCAAGGTTGTAAAATGGGCAAAGTAGCCTTACCACACTAATGTTCGGGCAACAGCAGAGACTAATTGCACTGCTTGCCAATCCATCTAGTCCAATCCACTAGCGATCCGTCCGACATCGCGAACTCCTAAAAAAGTTGAGTAGAAAGCACCACTGGCAACAACCAGAGCAAACTTTTTAGTTCGCTCTCCCATTCCCTAAGAAAGCCATACCTAGCACGCAACCGCAACACCCGAAAACATAAACAGATATCCTCGTTTTCAGGATAATAAAACAACATTAGCCGAGATCAGGGGAGTAAAACAGAAGGAGCTGCAGTTGCAAATCGCTCAATAAAGCTAATTACCGCTAACAACAAATAATTCAGGCCGTCGAAGAACGAACACTGGTAGATGGGTTTTAAATGGCTTAAATCACAGCGTCCAGAGACTTTCCACCAGGAAAAAGAAGACAGTGAGTGTACCTAAATACATATATTCCAGGAAGAAAAAATAACTGAGCATGAGCACGGATGCAGAGCAAACCCACCCCCGCGGAAGCTAAAGAAAACTCAAGCCAGCAACCAGACAGCGGAATGCTATACAAAGTATTACAAACACGTTCATAAAAAAATTTAGCCTATATGAAACTGAAATAATGGACCAAGATACAGCGCAAGCATTCCACTACTATGATGTATTCAACAAAATTGGTTAAAAATGACTAACAATTAAATTAGCATTCAGCTTACTTATTTCAACTCGTGTTATATAGTTTGTGATGATAATTTACTAATAGCATATATTTCGCCATTATTGCTCAAAGTCATTGAATGTCATGACACTTTGTGTGAGTCAATGACCATTTGCTCAATTTGTCGTGGCGTACTGCCTTCAGCTGCTGGAGTCAATGGTGCTGATAATCAAAGGTCTTCGCTAGCTTTGGATGCTAATGAGAATGGATAAATGTGTATACTGATGATTCTACAAGTAAGTTAATTGCATACTGGTAGGCGTGCGGGATTCGTCGGACTTGTGCACTGGTGATTAGCCGCCAGGACGCATGTAAGTTTAGAGGCGAGCTAGCATTTACCTCCAATTTCCATGTGTACTATCGATGAATTGTGGCGAAGTATCCTGTTCCGAGACTGATTACATTTGTTTTGTTTCAGACTTGCGAGGTTTTTCGACACTATCGTATTACGTTGTCTTTGGGACTTCTGACTGCAACTTCCAATCGTTAAGATGAACTGAAGTGATGCCATGATAGATATGACTTCAGAATTCAAATTCTGAACCTCGATCTGCCGCGTTCAGACGCACTGGCCTTGACGGCACATAAGTCGTATTCTGCAGTGGAGTCGAGGTGCGTAGTTACTGCTGAGTATGTTGAATGTTCTTCCATTTGTCGATATCGCTCTTGAGTCGTTATAGCTGAACTGTTCGGATAGCGTTTTGCCAATGTGACTACACTTGCCTAACTTCATCAAGTTGTCTATTGCACTTGTTAGAGCGAACTGACTTTCCACACTCGTCATCACCAACACTTGATTGTCATGTCGTCCTCACTTGCTTGGGATGATTTCCTTGGTGACCCAATGCAACTGCAGTTGCGTCGAATCCCGGGTCATGAGGAGGTTGTTTGTGTGTATAGCAATGAAAGTAATGTAATCTGTTGGCTGTGAAGTGGAAACATAGCAGATCGCATAGCTAATCTTTACTGGCGGAGTGGTTGGTAATAGAAAGATTGGTAGGATATGGTGAGGCAATTTTTTAAGGTGGAGTGCTATTGGTTGGTGTGTGCTAGGCATTTTCACCGTTATTATTGTTGTAGTGAGGGCTTTTATGGAAGTTAGTTTCCGTTCGCTAATGTGGTCCTTTACTTAGCTCTGACACTTCGAGTGGATCATCGGCATGTAGAAGCGGGCAGTGTTGAACCCTAGTCTGTTTTTGCAACTTAGCTACATACGTATCTGAGTGGGTATTAGTTCACTGGCTTTGATTGGGAACTGGTGTCTTCTATCAATACTTCGGCCCTTGTTATTCGTTAGCATCGGTGTACTTTCATTGGATGGACTTGAATGCTTATCAGTTTCTTGCTGAACGTGGGCGGGCACCATCGCGTGTGCTCTAAGCTAATCATGTTACTGTGGTGGAAGGCAGCCCTAGAGTGAGTATGGTGTTCCTCAAGAGACCTTCCTTAATCACTTGTCGCAAGTAAATATCGCCGAATGAATGAGTGGATCTTGAATGCTCGTACATCATGCAGAAGCAGAAGTGTAAGTTTGGTGACGGCCACGGGGTGCCACGCAGATAGTGGGAATGGGCCTTTATCTGTGTACTCTGCAAGGTGTGTCTAGTAAACGCACCCATAACGGGGCTAAATTGATGGTCTATCACTCTCTGTTCAGTTCCTGTTCGCGACCGAGGTAGAATGTCCTTGCCCTCTACATAGGCGTGGGTTGGAACGACATATAAACCATAGTAGTTAAGTGGTTCAGCGCACACGCGTGTTAGTGTCACACTCATCTACTGTATTCGTACACTTTGGTTGCTTCGTTATCATGGCGATTCCGTAAACAATGAAACTTTCCGCATTGTCTTTCTCATCATGCTACAGTTGAGGAAAATTGAAGTTGCCGCATCTAGATGGAATTATAGTGTTCTCCGTTGGAGATTGTCATCCACAGCAGGTGTCATGCGATGTAGCTGCGTTTATAAAGGAATTTATGAAAGTTGAAATGGTGGGGGATCAACAGTCACACGTGTTTATACGAATATAGGTGCCCACATCGAACTCATTATCCATCCATTGAAAGGTCCTAGAAGGCGCGTAGTCACATCTGGAGCCAGTTATCTTCCATGCACGTGGCACAAGGCATTAATTCCACGTCATTCTAACACGCAAGGTGTGATGTGGCATTTGCTTAATCTTCATTGCAGAGGGTAAGTTCGGCCTTAATCCTTCCTTTAAACGACGGTTTACAAGGGGTTCTTTTGAAGGGTCTGCTCGCGTCCTCCTATCTACACTTCGTAACCACATCCTTTCATTCTGCTCGATGGTGTGCCGTACTCACTTTAGTTCACACCTAGTGCGTATGCTCAAAGAGTAAGAATCTGCCATGGTGAGTTGGGGCTAGGTGGACACAACCCACTCATCAGGCCCATATTGACTCCCTTTATTACGAATGGACAAGAAAATTGTCGAAAGCCCATTGTAATGCGTAAATGAGTACAAAGTTGCATTTAAGTGCTACGTATGGAGCGGGGTGTGGGCATCGCCGTGATTAACTCATTGGAAGACACAGTGTTCATTCAAACAATACTGCTTACTGAAATGTATTAATGAGACACTTCTATCAGCGTCGTCAAAAGATTTGGCAAATCTGTGTGTATCTGAGAGAACTAAAGTCCTGCCTTGATGTAGAGCGTCGGCTTTCGCATAATTTTCACGGCTTTAACGTCAGTCTTTTTGGCTCCCCTGTCTCCCAACAAAAGACCATGTTTAAGTTAGTGGAATTTATTGTTGCATAGGGAAGCATTGCATTAGTTTGCCAAGATTAATTGTCAGACAATTTCGGAACAAAACACGAATGAATGGCGACTGATGCATTTCTCTCTGCTCGAGAACCTGCAGTTGAATGGAATTAATGTCGTCAGGCAAGACGATGGAGCACTGATGCACCGTTGGCATGAAACAGCAACTTACAATACACATGGACTTGGTAGAGGGTTAGATGTACTGACTTCTCTGAGACTTCAAGCTGGGGGCGCCAACATGCAAGCAAGTACAAATGCAAAGGCAGAAGAGACTAGGCTCGATCCGCTAGTCATGATAGCAGTCGTCGTCACCCATTCTATGCAAAAAAAGGAATTCACTGATATCACTTGCCCGATGCATTAATATATGCCAACAGCCTCCTCATTGTGGTATAATTAGTGGCAGTGGGAAAGCGAACTTCGAATTAGTTCTTTTTATAATGCAGAAAGTATCTTGCACAGTTCACCAGTCATACGAATTATTGTCCACCTAAGTCCGAGATGCAATCGAACTTTCACTTCTCCATCCATGTTGGCATGTGATCTAGGCTACTTACTACCTGCATGATCAGATTAGTTTAGTTATCAGGGAAGGAATGGTGTAGTCATGCCATATTTATCGCATGTATACCTCTGGTCCGAATGGGATACGATGCTTGTGACCTTCTTTCACATAACTTCGGATTCTGTCCAGTCCCTGCAATTGTGCTGGCAGTCACGTAGCACACATACTCAGTACTCGGAGACAAACCTCCGACTGTGATCGAGGTGGTTAAGTTGTCTTTAGTTGAGACACTTATTGGATCTCTGCCCTGTATGTTGCTCGAACAGGTGAGAATGTAGGGTTTGAGGATGCCATTGGGATGGGCGGGTGGAGACCATTGCAGTTGAATTTGTTTCGCTGATATGGCCTTCCCAGTGGGTGGCTGCACCTCCGAAGGAGCTGTGAACAATAACATGATTAAATTTGGTGTTAATGAAGGTGGATTTTGCTTGAGAACCAGTACGAACCCAATGCCATATCTGTACACCAAAAAAAGTTTTCGCTATCACAATGGCTTGGAATACTTGTTCGAAAAGAGCAACAGATGTAGAAGGAGTGCAGCTTACCAGTCGGCCATGTAAGAAAGTGATGTTCGATATTAAAAATACGATCTTCACGATCATATCCTTCCACGATCATGATATATAATGTGTTAGCATTCAATCCATCAATTTTGACCTGTCCATTGTTGACACTAACATTTGTCGTCTTGATAGGAGTGGAGTCGTTGGTCAGTTTGGCTGTCAAACCAATTTCTTCCACTTGCTCCTTCTGCATCTCCTCAACATCCCACTTCACCAGCACTTCGTTAAAGGCTAGATGCTGCCATTGAAGATTTGGCACAACCAATTTCCTATCTGCAAGGAAAGGATGACACAGTAGGAGTGTTACTGGCGATCGTATGCCCCCGGCGGTGGGGCTGAACAACTCGAAACTTCATTATGGAAGGACACTAGGTGCGGTCTTCAATTTCTCTTCTTCATTATGGATAGAGGAAAAAGACTTAGTGACAGATCACAAGGGCACTATCTCCACATTCCTACCTTCGGTCCGTATAGGAGCTGATGGCTGCGACTTCTTTTCACATTCCTTCGGATTCTGTCCAGTTCCTGCAACTGTGCTGGCAGTCACGTAGCACACATACTCAGTACTCGGAGACAGACCTTCGACTGTGATCGAGGTGGTTAAGTTGTCTTTAGTTGAGACACTTATTGGATCTCTGCCCTGTATGTTGCTCGAACAGGTGAGAATGTAGGGTTTGAGGATGCCATTGGGATGGGCGGGTGGAGACCATTGCAGTTGAATTTGTTTCGCTGATATGGCCTTCCCAGTGGGTGGCTGCACCTCCGAAGGAGCTGTGAACAATAACATGATTAAATTTGGTGTTAATGAAGGTGGATTTTGCTTGAGAACCAGCACGAACCCATTGCCATATCTATACACCAAAAAAAGTTTTCGTTATCACCATGGCTTGGAATACTTGCTCGAAAAGAGCAACAGATGTAGAAGAAGTGCAGCTTACCAGTCGGCCATGTAAGAAAGC